GAGCTGGAACAGCCGCAAGCAGACAACAGTTGTGCTGTCCTCAATGGAGGCAGAATATATGGCTCTCATACGGGGAGTCACGGAATCTATTTGGCTTCAAGGTCTACTTCACGATGTTGGAGCATGGACCTACGAAGCAGAAGTTAGGGAAATTGCAGTAGACAATCAAGGTGCGATCGCACTAGCAAAGAACCCCGAATTTCATGCGAGAACGAAACTCATTGATATTCAGTATCGCTTTGTTCCTCAATATATCGAGACTGCGAAGGTTCAGCTTATGTATTGCCCCATGGAACAGATGACAGCCGATATTTTCACTAAGGCTCTCCTACTACCTGCATTTCAGAGACATTGTCTAGGCTTAGGCATAGCGGATCAAGCAGTAGTTTTTGAGGAAGAAGAAAGACTAGAATACAAGGTTCTAGATGGAAATAGAGAACGCACCAGTGAGGGGAGGTGTTGCTTTTCACCGATATGTGTTATGTGGCCTTCCCGACATGAACTGGTTATGTCATTAATTACGATAGATCTTTGAGGGGATTACAAGTATGAGTCTGTCATTACCATGTGAACTAGGCAGATTATATTTAGGTGTCGACTTTGTTGTTTTTTGTATAGTTGTTTAGTTGCATGATGTCACTTGCATAGTTATGACTTGCCTGCCTGCAGGATAAATAGCCCCAGAGAGCCCACCAGGGGAGGAGGTGGAGCGAGGTTGAATGCAAGTAGATTAATCTGCGTGAGAGAGACCATCTGATCATTCAATTTTTCAACAACTGGCACGAAGAAAACGTCCACGGAGAACAAGATGTGCCACCCTCTAGCAGATGGGTCCAATATCTACCTATACTGAATTATATCTCCGTCACAAAACAATGGCAATCGGCTACCTTATGAAGTGGAGAAACTATGTGTGGCAGCTCGCAAACGCAATACCCCTAGAGGCAATCAAGCCTCCATTTCTTCCAAAACACCAGAGGAAGCGTCCACAAGTCCTAAAGGTGTGTTTCCATCCGCCAGGAGAACCTTGGACCCACAGGGGCAATTTATAGGACATTTCAGACCATGGGAGTAATAATAATATGGGAGCTGGGGCAAATAAATTTATGGGAAGTCGTGCTTAGGGAATAGAGCAGGGGTCTCAGGATTGCAAGGAGGGAGGGATAGCTAGAGTAGTCGATCCATCCCTCTATTAAACAGATTTAACCTTGTACTAACCTAAGATAGAAGAAATAGATGTAGCAATGAACAAATGTGAGCACTGGCCAAGAATGACAGACTGGTGGGTAAATACAAATAGTGGAGGTACTTATATACTCCAGGTGCTAACCCCATATATTGACCACTATTCACCTGATAAATGCCAAGCCCGGTTAGTGACCATCATTAGTCATCTTAGTTACCTTTCCTTTTTCTGAGTCCAACTGGCCAATCACACTTCCTTCCTTCGTTTCTTTCTTCTTTCTCCTTTTCTTCCTTCCTCTCTTCCTGCCTCACCCGCACTTGGTTTCCATTTCCACATCTCCTACCATCAATCCTCCTCTCAGCCCCTTGCCTGCCAATCCCTCACTCACTTCAGTTCCATGTCCCTTTTTCACTGAATATAGCTACCAAGGATCCTAGGCAGACTCTTTCCGATTCCGTGATCTATAAGATTGCCAACTCACAAGAAACCCGGTCTACCAGCATATCAGCATATCAATTTCACTTGATATCTGTTTTGCCACTATCGCTGAACATCTCAAGAGCACCTACAAGGATTACCAGCATCTCCACTGGGCTCTCATTGACCTGGCTACGAAAGTCATCCAGTTGAGTGGCACTGTTCTGGTGCATGCAAATGGATAGCGCAAACCCAATCTGTTACTAGAAGGCAATATTAATAACCTCACCACAAATGCCATTGGCCTGATTACAGATGCCAGCACATTGAAGGCTATGGCCCCCCTGGTCATAGAGAGGCAGGAGGAACAAGGCGGAATGTTACAGGATCTTGTTCAGAGTATCTGTGCGCTTTTTGATAGACCTGATATTGCACCTGTAAGCTTTCTGAGCTCTCTGAACCTATGGGACACTACAAACCATTGGATAGTATGGGGGCATACCTGAGTAGAGACAATAATGTCTCGCTTGGTTTAGTTTTAATTATATTTTCAGGGCATTCAATTCAATCATAATATTCTTTTTGTTACCTCTTTTCATACTACTTCTAGTTTCTAATTTCATTTTACCTTCTATTTCTCTATCACTAGTCTTCTTCTCCTTACCACTCATTTCATCATTAAGGACTCATTGTATCCTTCCTATCTACAGTCTTCTGAACTCTTCTTATTCATTCCCTTACCTGCTTTTCTTCCAAGCCTTCTTCCCTGATACCACCAAGGCTTCCATTTCACCATCGATGCATTATAGCAGCAGCCGGCTCTGTATGTCAGGCAGACTCAAGGGCAGCCAATCAATTTGCTCCACTATTTCCATGTCAATAGGGTTCTTTTTACTGCACATGTTGTCTAGAAGGGATAGACTCCGAAAAGACTTTTTTTTCATACAACTACAACCAAATATTTGACAGGTAATACCTGATATTTGCAAGTAGCAGGAAGGCGCTGGGTGCAGGATACATGAATCAGGAATTGGTATCCTAGTTGTCCACCGAGTATATATAACCATGAGGGACATCAGAGAACAATATGACAGCATTAGGGTGGGTACATTAGTCAAATAAAATCACATATTTTTGTCTTTAATACCTGTCGTCCATCTCGTATGAGATTTGACAAGTTCTCCTATGCCATATGGTTCCGTAGCATGTCTAGCGGGAGGTACTAGAGTGAGCAATTAGTCGCGAAAACTGCAAACGATAATGCCAACAAAATTAGTCTTGTAGTATTTGGCACTATTTAATTAACATTCTGCCAGACTTGGCTAACTGCTATACCTGACCTTACATAACCTAATGCTCTCTTTTGTTTAATAATCCTTGACAAGTATCGGTGCATGAAGCATGAGAGATGGGAGTTGTATACAAGGTCCGAATAATATGCAGAGCAGGGATTTATTGCGGAAATTCCCCATCCCAATAGATGTCCCTGGTACGGGATTATACCTTCCATAATATTATTCTGGTATTGCTAATAGTGTAGCAAGTGTCGCAACATATCCAACATCTACCGGCCTGCAGGTAATTGGCCCTGACCATTCAAGAGGGTAGTCATGTGAGGTATGTACCATCACAAGTACGGTTCTCATACTAGATGTATTGCTATCATCAGCCATTGTGTGTAGAGTACATGAAGGCCAGTCCAAAGAGCCCAATCTCAACAAGATTGATGATATCGGTTACGTCACATTCCAACAACCTCCCCATAACCCCCATCGCCTGTATAGCTGCTCTTGTCACTGACCACCTCCTCGAGTACCCTCGCCACCCTTCCTTCTGGCAGAACCTTAGGAGACCCTGGAGTGAGAGAACCAGGTCATCCTCCAAGAGAGTGGCCAACCTGTCTCCACCCCTGTCAAACTAGGTGGCATGTGCGGTGGTCTCTAGCAGATATGAGAATGGGCGTGTACCCTATATGACCCTGGATGATAGTGGGAACTAGAATCAGAACTCTTTCCTCACCAGAATGCTAGCATTTGTATATCCCCCAATAGCCATACTGAGGCCCAACACCGAAACACTACTGTCGTGGTTAATTGTGAAAGGTTGATATAAGGAGGTGGCGCTGGAGGAGGGACAACTGGCAAGGAGCAGCTCGGTAAGGTAATGTCTCCTGTGAGCATACCTCTAGAGCCAGAATTGTGGACCATTGTTCCACACATACACCTCTCCTGCCTTTGTAAGGCCAAGGATGTGATCTCTACAAATACTAACCTGTTTAATTATCGCTTGTATGAATGAGTAGCATCTTTACCGGATAGCATTTGGGTGGTTTCACAGGGATGGGTAGTTTCCCAAGGAAGTATGTTGATTTATTCTATGCAGGTTTGGCAACAAAACTAGACCGTGCGTTAGTTTTGTCTGCCCAGCACCATATGAGTGAAAGGAAAGAGGAAAAGAATAATTGCACCAACCTAGCCAGCAACCTCATAGAGGAAGCATCCGGGGAATGCCGTCTTAACCCGCTCCTCGAGCCACCAGTATGGAGTCCCATAGATTATGTCCATCTTGTTAGTTGAACCACCTCTACCTGGGAGCAAGGCAACAATACGGCCAGACCTGTCAAGAATGATAGAGCCCGAATCTCCAGAGGCTGAGAAGGGGCCAAGCTGCTGACTGTGAGCCAGGATTGCAGTCTGGACAGACGTGCCCATGATGTCATAATGGTTGTAGATGCAAGTGAACGAGTCCAGTCCATTGGCACAGCCGATAGTAGTACCTGTAGCTAGACCACTCTTCACAACCATCAGTACCCTTTGGCCGTGCTTGTCAAGGTGCTGTGGCTGGTGAATCTTGTGGTCATTGACGACTCCAAAGGCCTGTAGGAGCCCATCGTCAGGGTACTCGTAGTCTGCCTGGTCCTCAGGATGCGGGAACATGAACTTGCCGAAATCAGACGGCAAGAGATTCCCACCTGGGGGAGCATACTAGTCAGGCAAAAAAGAAATGAAAACGGAAACAGCAGCGCCGAGGGGGGGTGGAGAAGAAACGTACCGATGAAGACCTTGTTTCCTGGGAAGGTGGCCCAGTCTATCTTCTCCTTGTAGAGCTGGACAAATGCCGAGTCGCAGGTAAACCAGTGGGATCCGTCGGAGATCACGATGGGCTCTGTGTGGAGAACGCAACCGATGACGCGCTGGTCTCGGTTAGTCCTGAGCTTGGTAACCTCAGGATGGAGCTTGTTCAAGTAGCCGATCATCTCGGTTGCCTTTTCCACGTCGTGCTGGGTCTGCTGGCACTTCTCGGTGATGGCAGCCTTCTCGCCGTCAACGGGATCACCCAGTCTCTCGACAACTGTCTTCCACATGGAGATGGAGGAAGTGAGGCTCTCAATGGCAGCTCACATAGTGTTTGTCACATTCGGATAGCCCATGCTGCCCAGCGCGATGATCTCCTTCTGGGGCTGGCTGGTATTCTCGTATGACATGCTAGTGTTGGCAAACTTGGGAGGCGGGCGAGCGACGTGGGCAGCGGTAAGAAGGGCGATGCGGTCATCGTCACGGCCGAGGTGGAAGTAGAGTGCACCAGTGCCCTCGTAGTGGGGTGTCCTGAGCAGGGCGATGGAGAGGCCAAGTGTAGGCGTGAAGGCCTTGCAGAACTCAGGGATGGGGTCGACAAGGGGGTCGAAGGAGAGGAGCTTTGGACCACCCACAGAGCACATCACCTCCGACTCACGGAAGGCCACCTCAATATTGAGGAAGCCTGCTTGACGGAGGATATCCTTGACGGCGTCGGCAGCAGTCACCGCAGCCTCAAACATGAGCATCTCATGCTTCACACCGATCCACATCAGGAGCGGGCAAAATGGCGTCTTCTCCCCCACGTCGGCGAAGGCGGTGGGATCGATTGAGGTCCACTTGACACTGAGAGCATCAAGGGCCTGGTAGATGTCTGTACTGATCTTGAGCCAGTCTTGAGCGATGGGGTGACCTTACACAGGACGTGGTTCGCGGATGTAGAGGTATGTTTCAGGACCCTTACGCTCCGGCCAAGCAGGACCGGACTTGTAAATGCAGGGAGCCCCAGTGGGCGTGCGAATGATGTCTTTGTATGCGGCGGGGTAGCTGTTGATAAGACGGACGAGTTAGCTATAAGGCCTCCGCCATTGAGCCCATTTGGCTTGTTGAATATGGAGGCAGTGGGTGGGACGGGAGTCGGGACTAGTGTGATGGGCAACTGGATGTTGAGCTGCGTGGAGAGTCTTGGGCACCTCTCGAAAAACACATCGTCGAGGTTGAAGGAGTTAAGAGTCCAAGTCACTGGTGGGGAGGAATGGTCAGTAATGAGAACAGATCAAAAAAAAAAAAAAAAAAAAGAGAAGAACAAACAAAAAAGGGGCTTGGTAACAAGGATAGATCAAAAAGAAAAAAAATATTTAGACAAAAAAGTGAAGAAAAAAGAAAAAAGTGACTTGGTAATGGGGATAGATCGAAAAAAAAAGAAAAAAAAAGAAAAAAAAACAGAAAGGAAAGGAAAGAGAACAGGACTTGCTGGTGATTATTTCTGAAAAGAAAGGTGAGAGTAGAAACGGCATCGCTAGTAGATAACGAGCGAACTGGGAAAGAAGGAAAGAAGGAAGAAGGTCAAGGTAAGTATAACGAGATGGCCCAAGTACGTACTTGCAAATAGAGAGTAATTCTTCCAGGCAGAGTTGACGCAGGTTTGTGCTGTGGAGAGGAAGGTGTGGGAGGGTAGGTGCCTCTTGTACTGTATGAGTACCGTATCGTAAAAACTTTTGTGTTTAGCCATCGCAGTAATTTGTGCCAAGTGGCCAAATATGCTACTGAGATACCCGCTTTCCCCCTTGAGTTTGTGATTAGTAGTGACAAATAAGACATGTATTTTCTTTTTCATTTACAGATAGAGTTAATACTTGTTTGTAGAATATGATAAATTGAATAAATACAATACATTAAACAAATTCTATAGTATTACCATTATCATTATCTACAGGAATGTCAGCCATTGCATTCACTTCTTCAGAATCACTTCTCCAATTACCAATTTCCAACCCAGCAAAGCCCTTTATGTCTAGTTGAGAATCACAACTCCCATCTGCTGTAAGGGAAAGTTCAACCTTCCTGAATACTCGACCAATTAAATCACCTTTTTCAATGTGAAATCGGTAGTAGTTTAACTGGTATAGGTACTCAGTTATTGGTTTGTTTTACGTTTTGTTTTAAGTATAGCTTTGATACTTGGTTTGTTTTAAGTATCGCTTTGATACTTGGTTTGTTTTAAGTGTCGCTTTGATACTTAAATTAGTTTCACTAAAGTGTGTCGCTTGATACCTTTGTTTATTTTCATCCATGCTGGGCATGAACAGACTTTTACATTCAAAGACCACCTGATTCTACGATGGAAAAGGGAGACTTTGACAGACAGTATTATCAATATACTTAGTTGAATGGTTACTCCTTTGTTTCTCAGTACACCTTTGAAGCCTCCTTTAGTTCTCAGCCCTCGCCTCCTCTCTGGTAGAGCTGGCCACCTACCAACTATAGTACCTATTACTGATAACATGATTAGCACCTTGCAAATTCGTTACAAGTAAGTTGTTAGAAATTATGGGATCCGATACCAAGGAACCACCATAAGTAGGGTAATCCCACTCCGAATTAGAATCTCTCATCTCCAACACTCTCCTCCAGCCCCTTAGTAGAGCCTGCATGTCGATAGCTCAATCGGAATATCATGTGACTCTTTACCGACAGTCATATGTTTAACTCCTGGTATCGTGATAGTTATTTCTGTTGTTGAGTGATTTTCTACCAATACTACAGGCAACTGAGAGGCTTCCTGCACAACAACCAAAAACTACCAACTGAAGGATTATGTTTCTATTCTGTAGGGGTGCTTCTCCTCTACATGAGGGAGGTTATAGGATGAGAATCTATCTGTTGGATCAGGAGATATTGAGCTTTGAAGTGGGTGACCTAAGAAGGTTGCATACATTACTTCACAGAACCATCCAAAGTAGCCAAGTATTGCTGACAGAGGGATTATCTATCAGTCCTATAGAATAGCCTCCTACAAACTAGTAGGAAGTTATTCCAAGGATATCTGTCAGTTTGATATGGAATTATAGGGATTTGAAGTCAGGCAACCTGAGAAGATTACAATTACCACTATCTCCACAGAAATAATGTGCAGATGAAACTGATCCTTTTATTAATAACAGAGAAAATTGGGGCCAACTCAGTTCAACTTGAGTACTGGACCACACGTCTAAAAACTCTAATTATCGGGTATTTGCTATTGGGAACAGTACAATGCTTAGGTAGCAAATATTATAATTACCAAACAGGGTATGGTAATTCTCAGAGTCTTTAGTTGTTCGCACCTTCAAGAAATACTCGATGCTGCCAGATATATCGATAGAGGTACAATGTTTATATGACAGTTAAATGTAGTCCACGAACTCTCAGACATGGAATATAAATATCAAAGTGCCCCCCAAGCTTTAAGCCATCATCATCTAATGGAGAAGAGACCTTAACAATATCAGATTGTCTTAACAATTCAATTCTACTTTGCCTACTTTACTTTGCTCTTAGTAGTCATAAACAAAATAAGTGAAGTCCAAGCCTTTCTAGCCAATCTCCGTCTACAGAAAGGAATCTTGATTGGCCTAGACAACTCTGAAGTCTATCAGGTTATCTCCGCCTAATATAGATATCCCCAGCAAAGAAGGTGGTAAGGATATGGCATAGGCTAATACTCCATCAGTAAAAGGCCTTAGAACATTCTGCCTCGAAGATTGCAATATTGATAACCACGTGTATGGTTTCCTTCAATGGCTTATTGATTAAGATATCAAGGGGTTGCAGCAGGCTAGTCCAGCCACCAGGAATAAGAGATGGGATGCTATTATGCTGATACAACTTCTCCAGCACTGTTGGGGTTTTGTGAGATCCCATTAAGTTGATGGTGAAAGGGGTAGGCCATTAATCATGTACTAGAATCAAGTAGGTATCAATGTAGCGCAAGAGCTGATCATTTATATAGGCCTTTGGATTGAATTCTACCTCAACTCCAGCATGATGCTTCTCCAGCTTCTTTCCTATCCTCTCACCCTTGTTACAATAAATAATCATGGGTCGTACACGGGGTACTCCATCTGCAAAGATGCAGAGAACTAATGAAGCCTGATGCTTGTCCCAACCATTTTGTAACAGCTGGGCACAAATAGTTTTTTCTCCCATATGATTGTAAGTCTTGCCTTCCAAATACTCAAATAGAATAGAAGTCTCATCCAGATTGCAGATGTTGAACTCTAAAAACCGACTAATAGTTGGTATAAGTACCATATCAAGAAATAACGTGAGGTAAGGCTGGAAGATTCTGCAGTTGAAAAGAAGCCAATTGAGGACTAAGGTTTGATACTGGAAAGGAATCTTGGGGCTTTTTTTGTAATACTACGGTGACCAATACGATGTTGTCCTTGAAAGCCAACAAACTACCTAGTACTGAATTGAGATATATCTGGATTCCCATCAGGATACAGTTCAAGGAACTGAAATCCTGCTTGAATCTTAAACCATCTCCTCCTCATAATCTGAGCCTGTACTTGCCACTCAAGAAAGTTACTATATAACCTCTCCTCTAACTCCAGTCACCTGTATTGGTTATAGTTCCCAATATCTGGGTTAGAAGCTCTCTCTTTTGTATTGATCACCAGATTTTCTATTCCTTCCTGTCTTTTAACCCAGTGGCTAATTATTGATCGTGGAATTTAGAATTGATTGGCTGCTTCTTGCTGGGTAGATGTTTGGAGATGTCTTGACTTCTAGAGAAGAATTCAGTAATATTACAGAGGGGTAAGAACCCGAACTTTCTACCATTGGCTATATACTTATTCGACTGCAATTATGGAATTACGATTTTGCTGGATCAATACCCATGGGCTAATTGCATTTAGTTTGGATTCTCACCGCTTAATATTAATTTTTCTGGAAGGTATTTTGAAAAAGGTATTAAATCGCAAATTGGAGTCGAGGTATGATTAGAATTCTTTTCATAAGTCTTGATACTATCTATTTTGCATTTCAAATATTTTCCCTAATCTTAGATTTTTTTTCTCTATACTTACACTTTATGATTCATGTAGGTTCACTCTTTCGTGTCATAAAAACTCTTGAATTAATTACAATTTCCGGAGTTCTCAAGCCTCTAAATCTTATGACTTTACATTTTATATATGAGCCATGAAGATTCTCCAAAGACTCATTATTCTCCCTTGTTATATAATCTTAGTAGTCCATTCTTTATCTAATTTTATTCTCGTATACAGACACACTTTTATATTACACCAAGCAGGAATCTAATTTCCGAATCACAGTTTAACACTCAGCTGTATGAGTCATAGCTCACTTAGTCCTTCCCCTCTTCAATAACTATCCTTCGAGGATATCTCTTTTTTCTGAAATGGATAATTGCAAAGGTTTTTACAGTATTCGTAATGATTACCAAGGCCAACACCCCATCCACTCCTGTGTAGATCCTGTCATTAGGACTGCTACAGTTGATGATGATATGTGTTACATGCCAGCTATGAGAGAGAGAAAATGTTGAAATTGCACAAAGTATATTCCTTAGTTCCCTGCTAATGGAGGGAAGTCCACCACTACTTATAAAAAACGAATACGCTATAAACTTGACTTCTGATATACATACACCATTACAGTATTCTTCATTACCATGACTTCTCTCTTACCACAGGACTTACCCAACGCAGTATATACAGTAGTGTGTTTCTCATTAAAAATCAGACAAATCTAAAGAAGAATAGTGTATAAAGAAATGATGAATGAGGGGACACATATTCCAACAAAAAATATCTATACAAAGGGTTATCTTCCCTCTTTTCCCTCACCAGACAACACTGTGCCATCTTCCAGAATTGTTCATTAATAATGAAACATTTTTAAAACATGAATTGTACAAGTATGGTCGCTACATGAAATACTTGGTTTCCTATTCTAACCTTTTATATTCGCAATCAATGCTCCCAAGTACATCTCTCCCTTTTAGCAGAAGAGCCAGACTGTGACGGTTTTCAAGTTAAATCCAATCTCCGGCTAGGCTGTAAGTGACCCCCCCACCCGACGAACCAATCTTACTTAACAAGCCTACTTTTTCTCATCTCCCCACTTTTCCAAATATAACTAGACTCTCTTACAAGTACAGTCTCCTCTCTTCTCCTGGATACCTCTGACAGAGGCAGTGGCCTAACCACTACTACTTCTCTTTTGTTTCCTGTCCCCAATA